TTGTGCACAAACACAATTTCCTTGTGTTTTCCTTTAATAGTCAGTTGATCGGGAAATCGAACAACCTTTAAAAAAAAAAAAAAAATTTTCCCGCCATTTTTCACTTAAAACGCGAAAAAATACATATATTTAATACTTACGTAATAAAATGAGACAAAAAAAAATTTTCAATATCATAAAATCAATAATAAAATCTCGTTATACATTTTATACGTTTATATACATAAATATATGTACATAATGTTAATAAAAAATTAATAATTTTAATTATTTGATTTTACATATTAAAACCAACTTAACATATATTTATTATTATTATTATTTTCAATTTTAACATCCTTAATAACATTTATTTAATTATTAATAATAATAATAACAATCGTATATGTACAAAAAATTTATTATTTTTAATACGACAAAAACATATAATAATAATAATAATAATAATAATTTGTTTTTGTATTTTTTTTTTTTTTTGTTTACAATTTTCAAATTCGTCATAGACGTTAAAAATAAATTAATAAACAAATATTTCTTTTGTGTGATTTTCCCCTTGTTTAAAAAAAATATATAAATCATTATTATCATTATTATTATCATTATTATTACTATTGACATTGAAACATTTTTTTTTTTAAATAAATAAATAAATAAATACGTATGTATGTTTTTAAAATGAATAAAAAAATGTCGTCAAAATATTTTAAATAATAATAATAATTTCTTTTAAATATTTTTTTTTTCTTCTATTAACTCTCACCCCCCTCCAATAATGATAATAATAATAATGATAATAATAATAATGATAATAATTAATTTAAAATTAATGAAAAACAATAAATGTAGAAAAAAATAAATAAATAAATGACGATGTTTTTATCAAACTCAAAAAAAAAGAATTTTTAATTTTTTTTTGTAATTTTTCTTACGTGAAAATTATTATTATTATTACTATTATTATCATTATTACTATTATTATCATTATTACTATTATTATTTTTATTATTATTATTATTATTATTATATATATATTAATGTATAAAATGGCGATTGTTTTACGAGAATTCAAAGAATGTCGACTAAACTTGTATTATACAATAAAAATATATATATATATAACAAAAGGTAATAATAAAAATTATTAAGGGTGTTGAACCTGAATACGATCTCTCTCTCTCTATCTCTCTCTCTCTAGGTACCCACGTCATAATTTATAAATAATTGTGAATAATTATTATCATCATCATCGTGTATGATGATACATTTTGTCGTTTGTAAATTTTTTTACGTGCGAAATTAAAAATTAAATTTATGTATTTATTTTTATTTTTATTACGTAATAATATTAATTAATAATAATAATAATAATAATAATAATAGTAATAATAATAATAATAATAATAATAATAATAATAATAAAATGATAAGAAAATTATTATAATAGGTAAGTAAATGGATAAGAAAGATATTTAAATACGTTTTTAAAACAAGTGACTTTTTAAATATTTTAATTCTCGATTTAAATTTATAATAATAATAATAATATTGATAATGATAATGATAAAAACCGGAACAACCGGTTTCGTTTGAAACATCAACGAACAAAGTCTTTTTCCTGCTAAATATATAATAAAAAAAGATTTTTTCGTTTGTTTTTAAAAATAAAGAAGGTAAATGTTTAAAATAAAATGGCGGGAAATTTTTTTTTTTTTTTTTTTTTTTTGTTTAAATAATTTATCTATAAACATTTTTTTTGTCGCTCAAAGAGTCCCTGAGTGTTTTTAGGGACAAAGACAAACAGACAGACAAACAAATAGACAGTTTTAAAGATCGGACGACGCAATTCGGTCGCGAGTTGTTTGTTGTTGTTGTCGTCGTTTGTTGTTGCCTATTAATGGCTAAGAATCGCACAAACGCGGAAGTAACGACAAAAACATTATTTTTATCATTATTATTATTATTTTAAATCTTTTTTTTTTTTTTTTTTTGTTAAGTAAGGTTAAAACGAGAACATAAATATTAAATAAAAAAAAAAAAGAAAAAAATGGAGAATGTTTTTAAAAAGAAAAAAAAAATTTTTGTAAAATTTTAAAAATTAATTTTGTTGTTTTCTTTTTAATTAATTAATAACGGAAAATTTTCTTTTTTTCTTTTTCTGGATAATTCTGGATAATTCTGGATTCTTTGTGATTTGAAAGTTAGAAAAAAAAATGGAAGAAGAAAACGGAAAAATCGTTGGTTGTGCGACATTTAAAAATACAAGGAAAAAAGGTTAGTAAATTAAATTATCATTATTATTATTATTATTTTATACGTGTGTGCGTGTGCGTGTGTTTCTTCTTACTTATTTTTTTTTGGTTTTAAATAAGATATTTTTATCTTTTTCAATAATAATAAGAAGAAAAAGGATCAAAGTTCGATTTGTTAAATACTTTAAACCTTTTTTTTTTTTTTTACATGGCATCCATTTTGTTTTTGTTCTCTAACACGAAATTTAATTTAATTTACTAAAAAAAAATTACGTAATTTTAATTGTATAATATTACAAATTGTTTTATTTATTTAAACAAATAAAAATTTTAATAATAGAATTTATAAATAAAAAATATTTTATTACTTTATTTTTTGTAAAAAAAAAAACAAATTTTTTTATTCGTGCCAAAAAAAATTTCGTTTTGCAAAAAACTAAATTTATTTTAATAACGTTGACGAAAAAAATTAAAACTAAATAATAATAATAATAATAATTTTAAAAAAAAAGTATTTTTATCGATAAGTATTTGAATCGATTTTTATCCCATATAAATTACCAATAGTTACGTAATAAATAATTTTTTTTTTATGTATTTGGAATTAGTTTAGTGATAAAAAAACAAAAACAAAACAATTATCTCTAATCAGGTGAGAGCGGTTATAATTTATTTGATAAAAAAAAAATCCCCTTTTTTTTTTTTTTTTTTGAAAGAATGCAAAACAAACAAACAAACAAACAAACACTCATCATTCGTTTTCAATTGTTTATTATTTTAAATCGTTAGGATTTACTCATGTGTGTGTGTGTGTGCGCGTTTAAAATTCGATGTTTAACGGAAGGGAAATTTAAAAAAAAAAAAATTGTTTTCAAATGTTGGCACCCCTGTTTTTCCACAAAAATTTTTAATTCATACAATCGAACGATTTTCCTTTAGTATAAGATAAACCAATTTTTTTCCTTTTCGATTCTTTTTCTATTTTTTGCATCGTTCGAGAAAAACGTTTATTATTATTATTATTATTATTATTATTATTATTATTATTATTATTATTATTATTATTATTATTATTATTATCATTAAATTTAACGTAAAAGCTGGACAAGAAATAAGAAAGAATGAATAATAATAATAATAATAATAATTCTAGTAAAAGTAAGTTGGAATTAGAAATTAAAAAGATTATAAAGTGTAGAAAACTTTTTTTTTAATTTTTTTTTTTATTTTAATCCCTTCTGGAGTTCTGGGGGAAATCTGGAAAAAATTTTACGTTAGATTTTCTTAAACATGATCCCTTTAAACCTTTTCATTTTTCCTTTGGTGAAAATTAATTTTTTTTTTTTTTATTGTTTTCAGATAATGGAAGACTTAAGGGACCGTTAAGATTGACAAGACTTTGCGCATTGTGCATTATACTACCCGGTTGTCTCATAGCCGGACCTTTATATTTAAGGTACAGGGTTTATTCCGGGCAAATTTATCCCGTTGGAATGTCCGATATGAGATTAGTCGACAATAGAATATCCACAACGTGGTGTCAAGTAAGTTTTCATAACGTTTATCCATAATTAACTTTTTTATTCATAACTAACTTAATTTTTTTTAGAAACAATTAGTTAAATCAAATGCAACATTTAACGCGTACCTTCTTCCAAACGAACCACAAATGAAAAAAAAACCTATTCGGGTATCAATGATAAGACATTTAAACCTTCAAGATGATATGAAAGAATATTGGGGATTTTATTTACTCAAAGGATCATCTTTTACCGTATCGACTTGTTGCAGGTAAAAAAAGACATTTTTTCATTTGTTTAAACAATAATAATAATAATAATTTAATTTGTTGTAAACCTTGTCGATTTATTAATAAACCTAGATAAGAATGTGTTGATATAACAACGAAAAAAATAGGCTGGATTTAAAAGAATTTTAGGCTTTTACTATTTTAGTTAAAACAATATAAATATTATTAACCGTTTCGTTTTGGTTTGTCGTTGTTTAGAATTGTTTAAAAGGTCAACAAACAAACAACAAACGACAAAAAAAAATTGTCGCAAATATTATTTTTAAAAAAAATATTTGTTATTACAGGTGGCCAGGAGCTTTTTTAACGGTTATAAAAGGACATAAACAATTGAAAGAATGTGCGTATTTCGGTGATGATTCCTCCGAAGAAGAAGACGAATTAGAAGAATTAGAAAAAGATGAAGAAGATGCAATATCGAACGAACCGTGGATGATGAAAAAAGCAAGGCCGGGTGTTATTTTTCACGGATCGCAATTGAATAACACATTGAATAAACACAGGTTGTCAAAGGAAATCGTGGAACTAGACAACGGTAACGAACATAATTTTTACCAATGGATTCCTAGAATGAGAAGTGAAAAATTTAAATCCGAAAAAAAAAAAATAGAAAATAATGTCAATTCAACGAAATCGTATAATAATAATAATAATAATAATAAATCTACGGAGAGTATAAATTTACGCGGGAATTTTGAAAATTTAAATACAACAGAAGAAGAAGAAAAAGACGAAGTAAAATCAAAAGAAGTCGAAGAAGCATATCAAGAAGTTTTGGAAAAATTAAAAAAATTAAAACTTAACGATAAAAATATTTTATTACAACTTCAGAAAAATTTAAGAAACAAAGAAAATCTTAACGAAAGTGGTAGTAGTAATAATAATAATAATAATGATAATAATAAAACGAGGGATTCGTATAGGAAAAAAAGAGAATTAGAATGGCATGGTTTACATGAGAAATTAAATAAAAATGACGAAGATTACGATACGGCAGCAGAAGAAATCGAAGAGGTTACATTTTTTTCCTTTTCTTTATTATTATTATTATTATTATTATTTATTATTATGATTATTATTAAAATTTTTTTTTTTTTTTTGATTATTCATTCACCAGCCAGATATTTTAACTTACGAAGATTTAAGAGGAACGTTTAACGAAACCACCGTCAATGATAAATCCGACAGCGAATTTTGGTCATCTTTTTCCAGCAGCGAAGAAAGGTTAATTAATTGCGCGGGTTTAATTATTAATCTACCATTGATACCTAAAAAAGGTTGTCAGGCTAATAAACCGGAAAAAGTTAAAGAGGAAGCTTGCGCGGCAAATAAATTTACTTACAAGTAAGATTTATTATTAACAACGATTTTCACGATTTTCCTTTGACAATGTCATTATCATATATAATTATCATTATTATTTTTTCCAGGGTTCCAATTAACGGTTATTATTTTTTCGTATTGAGCAGCGAAAATGAAATACAAACGAATTACATAAGAATACAATTTGAATTTGATAAAATCCTTTACAACGTGTCGAATCCCGTCGCTGCATGTACAAACACGACAGAATCCTGTAGTTTACCATTAAATTTTTTTTCATGGGAAAAAACAGTTTTAGAAATGCCGCTGACGAATAACGACAGCATGTGGAATCAAGAATTTATTGTCGTTTCCGTTTGCGAACCAAGAACAATTGTTTATGCCGCTTGCGTTGTTGCCGTACCTATATTGATCCTTCTCTGTGCTTTTTAACTAGTCAATTATTATTATTATTATTATTATTCTATAACGAATTTATTTTTTTATATATAATTCCGTCCGTTATAGTTAATTTAATAAAAAGAAAAGAAAGAAATTTATTTTAAAATTTGTTTAATTGCTCAATTTTAAAAAGACTGATTTTTTTTTTTTTTTTATGAAAATATATATATTTTTATAAAAAAAAAATTATAATATAATTTTATAATATAAATTTTTTTTTTTAAAATCTAAATTGAAATCTCCTCCTCCTCCTGTTGCTGTTGCTGTTGCTGTAAAAGATTAATATAAAAAACTCCCTTGGAAAATATTTTTGAACGCCCTTCGTACTCCATAACCTCTGTACTCTCTTCTTATCAGCATCCAACAGATTTCTCTTTTGTTTATTATTGCTCTGGAGGATTTTATTGTCGAATCAGAAGAGAGAGAAAAATCATCATCATCATCATCATCATCATTATTATTATTGAAAATTTGTAAAAAATAACTTTTTTTTCTTTTTTTTTTTAAATTGAATATTATCTACAATTTCAGTTGAGCGTATTAGTTTTTTTTTCTTCCTTTTTTTTTTTTAACTTTAAACCCTAAATAATAATAATAATAATAATAATAATAGTGTTTAGGGGGTAAAATAAAATAAAACATTTGTTAAAAAGAAAATGGTCAATATTAGTTATAATATTGATTTATTTTATTAAATATTATTATGGGGCGACTCGCACGCACGCACGCACACGTGTACGCACGTGACTCTTTCATGATACTGAATAATTTTATGTTGTTAAAATTTTCTTTATTTCACCTCATTGCGGTTGCGGTATTATTATTATTATTATTATTATTAACTAAAATCATTTTCGAATGAGATTTAAAGAAAAAGGAAAAAATCTCGAAAGGGGATTTTTTTTTTTTTAAAATTTTTTAAATACTTCCATGATGTTTTTCTAAGAAAAATAATAATTTTCAAATCTAAGAGAAGGCTGTGAGTGTGTGGGTGTGCGTGTGCGTGCGTGCGTGCGTGTCAGGGGTGAGAACAGATAAAAAACGTCAATCAAAAAAAAAAAAGACAATGGGGCCGCGTGTTGGGGCTCATCCGAAATCACTTTGCCTTTTCGTTGAGCACCCCAACGTTCATTATTTTCATATTAATTTTTTTTTTTTTTTTTTATTCATTGCCACGTTTTTTTTTTTTTTTTTTTTTGCCAAACTTGTCATCTCGA